GGACGTATAGTCCTTTATAACTCTATACAAACTCAAAATCTTTAAAATAAAAACTAAAACAATGCTACCGCCCACCATGGCAGGCTATGCTTAAGTAAAAGTAACAAATTAAAAAATTCAAATTATAAATCACTCCACTAGACTCTATACAAAAAAAAATAAAGTAATGAAAGAAATACACATTAAAGAAAAAATTAATAAGAAAGAAACATATGAAATGGAAAATTAACACTATTCTGTACTCTTTGGCAAGAAACATAGTTTGTTACACGGTCTCTTACAAATTCCGCTTTTAGTCTTAATAGACACCACTCGCGTTACATTGTCTCTTCCACTATGCTTCTCGATGATTCTGCCTATCCACCATTTGGCGGGAGGTATGTTGTTATCTCTTATTAAAACAATATCATCAATTTCAGGCTCTTTCTTCTCTTTGTTCCACTTGTATCTTTGATTCAAAGTAACTAAATATTCATTAGACCATTTCCTCCAGAAATCATTCATCATTTTTTGGCAGTACTTCCACCGTCTCAAATTTGAAATGTTGCAATCTTCATAACTCTCGTCTGGTATAATTCGCAATGGTTCACCTACTAAAAAATGGCCAGGTGTTAATGGCATTGGGTCATCTGCATTATCGCTCAGGTAGGACAAGGGTCGTGAATTTAGACATGCCTCGATCTGTGCCAATACTGTCGTTAACTCTTCAAAGGTGAGGCTGGTATCACCGACTGTTCTTTTTAAGTGCATCTTTGTGGATCGAACACCCGCTTCCCATAATCCTCCGAAGTTTGGTCCGTGCGGTGGGCTATATTTCCATGCCGTGCCTTCATTCGCTAAAAGATGTTGAAGTTCTTCAGGCAACTTCGATTTCGCTGAGTCAAACATTTCTCTTAGTTCTCTATCCGCGCCGATAAAATTTGTCCCATTATCGGAATATAACATTTCACAATATCCTCTTCTTGATACGAATCTTTGAAATGCTGCTATGAATCCGGAAGAAGTTAAATCTGAAACAGCTTCAAGATGGATCGCCTTCGTAACAAAGCACACAAACAGACAGATGTAGCCTTTGTAACATTTGGCTCCTCGTCCTGGTGAAAATCGAATGTTAATAAATCCTGTAAAATCGACGCCAGAAATCTTGAACGGTCTCATTGGTTTAAGTCTCGTTTCTGGAAGCTCGCCCATTAACGGATTATTGTTCTGACGTGAATATCTCAAACAGGTAACGCAATTTCTATAGCTTTTCTTCACTTCATTTCGTGCTTTGAGTATCCAGTATTTTGATCTTAAGTAGTTCAACATCAGTTGTGGTCCTCCATGTAGTGTTTTTATATGAGCATCTTCAATTATTAATTTGGTAATGTGACTCTTGCTAGGTAAAATGACAGGATGACGTCTTCTATAATCAACTTGAGCTCCTTGTATTCTTCCTCCTACTCTCAAAAGTCCAGTTTCATCGATGATTGGATGAAGTGTAAGTAATTGACTTTTCTGTGATACACTTTGTTTTGCTCTTAATCGATTGATGTCTTCTTGGAAATGCAACTTCTGTGTCTCTTTAATACAATAATGTAATATGTCTTCTGCTTCCTCTCGACTCACAAATTTGAATGAAACTTTTCGTTGTTCTTTTGGTAGCCTCAGATGTAAAAACTTTTTGCAATAAGATAATACCCTTAGAGTCTTAGCTAAATTAGAAAATCTCGTCCAAATGAATTCTTCTTTTTCTTTGATGCTAGTAGTCGTAGTTAATGCTTTAATCGTTTTTGCTTCTTCTGATGTTTCAAATTTATTGTTAGTGTTCTGTACATAATTTTCTTGATGCAACCAATTTGGGCCATGCCACCACAATTTATTCTTTATTAACTCTGTTACTTGCAATCCTCTAGACGCACTATCAGCCGGGTTTTGATCTGTAGCCACGTGTCTCCATTGCTCTCGTTCCAACATGGTAAGTATTTCAGATGTTCTATTGCTCACAAAAGTCGTCCAACGACTCGGCTCTCCTGATATCCATGCTAAAACTACTGTGCTATCAGACCAAGCGTATATTTTATTCTTAGGTATGTTCATAACTTGGGATACTTCATATACCAATTTTGTAGCGAGTAGAGCTGCACACAGTTCCAGGCGAGGAATTGATATATTTTTCTCAACTGGCGCTACTTTCGTTTTGGCGGTGACCAGGTTAACAGCTATGCTACCATCTTCGCTGGTCGTTTTCAAATACACCGCTGCTGCATAAGCTGACTGAGATGCATCAGCGAAGGTATGTAATTCAATCTCATCTCCATTACTGCTTTGTAACCATCTTGGTATGACTATCTTCTCTAATTTTGGTAAGTCTTCTTTAAATTTTTGCCACTCATGTAATAGTTGTGGGGTAAGATTCTCATCCCATGATAGCTTTGATTTCCACAACTTTTGTATGAAAATCTTTGCTCTGACGACTATTGATGCTATCCATCCCATTGGATCGTAAATACGCGCAATCTCAGACAATACTCTTCTTTTAGTTACATCTTCTCGATTCTCATCATATTTAGGTAGTTGAAAGTGATACTGAAATTCATCATTACTTTTATTCCAGGTAATACCTAAAACTTTTATGTTATCATTAGATTTAAAATGTACTAATTGATTGTTTCTTTGTTTTTCTTTACAGATGTGTTCCAGTAATTCTTGGCTGTTGCTGCACCATTTTTGGATTTCAAAACCACCTGCTCTCATCAAATCATTCATTTGCTGATAGATGTCCATAGCTTGCTCTATTGTTTCGCATCCGGTAAGTAAATCATCCATATAAAAGTCTTGCAGCGCGATTTGTGCAGCCAGTGGATATTTTGTTTGCTCATCTTTTGCTAGTTGTTGCAGAGACTTTACAGCTAAGTATGGGGCACAGGAAGTTCCAAAGGTTAGTCTCAATAATTTGTAATGTTGAATGGGTTCGTGTGGATTTGATCTCCACAATATTCTCTGAAAATTCGTGTCTTGTTCGTTGACTACCACTTGGCGGTACATTTTAACTAAGTCTGCCACAATACAAATTCTATGAAATCTCCACCTCATAAGTATATGACGTAGGTCGCCTTGTAATTTTGGTCCGACGAGCAGATTGTCGTTCAATGACACGTTGTTTACTCCCTTGCTCGAAGCGTCGAATACTACTCTTACTCGCGTAGTCTCTTTATCCTCTCTAATCACTGCATGGTGTGGCAGATAAACAACGTAATTATCACGTAAGTCCTTCTCATCTATTATTTCTCTCATATGATTTTGTTGTAAGTAGTCCTCCATTGTATTTCTGTAATCTTCTTGTAACTTCGAATTTTTAAGTAATTTTCTCTCTAATGAATTGAATCTTCGTAGTGCTATTTCTTTAGATTGACCATTTAAACATTCTGGATTAGGACCTTTAAAAGGTAATCTGACGACGTAACGCCCTTCACTGTTTCTATATGTTGTTTCTTCGTAAATCTCTTCGCATCTTATTTCTTCTTTGGTTTTTCTTTTCTTAATACTTTCAGGTTCTCTTTCTATCTCCCAAAATTGTTTTAAAAGCTCGTCTTCATTTAGATGTATATGCATGCTGATTACATTATGATCTTCTTGTACTAATTCATCTCTTATTTTTCCAGACAAGATCCAGCCCAATTGCGTATTTTGTGCAACTGGTCCAGATAAAGCTGAATGTTTCAGAAGACCATCCAGTAGAATTTCTCCGTATATCTCAGCACCCAAAATAATGTCTATCCGTCCAGGTGTACTGTAGGTTGGATCAGCTAAAGGTAGATTTGAAATATCTGGCCAATCAGGTATAGGGGTATCCCTGGCCGGGATAAATGAAGTTAATTTTTTCAACACAAAAGCATTGACTTTGATAGAAAATTCAGGGTTATATAAAGACATAATCTCAAAAGATGCCTTACTCTTTGTTTGTGTTTGACCCTCTCCTACTCCACAAATAAAACCATTCACCGAAACTCGCTTCAGCTTCAGGTACTGTGCAGAGGCTTCAGTTATAAATGACGCTTCAGAGCCTTGATCAATCAAAGCTCGAACTATTTGTGAATAACCAGAAGATGATCTAATTCTGACCATAGCTGTGGCTAGTAACACTTTGCTCCGTTGACTCTCATTAGTAAAATGAGCTACAATTTGCCTATCAGGTTGTTTGTTAATCTCTTCTGTTAAAGTATTCTCATTATTGGAAGACTCCTTAGCAATTGATTTCTCATCACGATTAGAATTTCTGTTGTAATGTAGTAATGTATGATGTCGTCGGGTACATTGGCGGCAACTTATAGATGAATAGCAATTATACACACTGTGGTTTGGTGATAAGCAA